TAATCAAATAATTTGTATTTTCTAAAAAAGATATTCTTAATACTATTTCCTTTCATGTAATTCATTGATGAACTTTCTAACCTTAGTTTGCCTAAGGTAAACTAAGATCAAAAAAGCTTCTACTCCTAACTAATTTAAAAATTTTTTAACTAACCTGTCCGGTAGCAATCAAATCCTGATCATCATGAATAGTAAGACATAAAATATCATCATCATGGCCCATATAAAAACGTTGTTCATGTGTTTGCTGGTTATAGATAACACCAACGCCAGCTGTGTGGAAAACAATTTCATTTGATTGAGTGTAAAAAAGATTGTTGCAAGAATTATACCCATGATAACTTTAAAATAAGAAATTTTTTTTATTAAAGTCATTAAAAAATAGAAACATTGAAAATATTATTTTTTTAATAAAAATTAAGATTTATTAAAACTTTTCAAGATTCATCTATTATGTTTCAACATTCGATGTTTGACAACAAAATCACTTGTTTGTTGCTAAGGTTATTTTTCACTTAAACACCTCTGTACTTGTGGTCCTGTCACTTTCATACAAAAGTGTTCAATCAAACTCTACTGATAATTCTCTCAATTATTTAGCAAACACTTAACCAAATCAAGTATTTCCTGCATGCTGGAAAATGGCATATGTGGTTCAAAAAAACACTGGAGATCAAAATATGTTATAATATAGTTGAAGAAGAATTTTTGATATAGTTATATGAAAACATAAACGTTTAACTGTAAAATGTGTATAAAAACTAAAAAAATTTACAAAATAATTTACCCAAATGCATATTTTAACTGTAAGCCCTCTTGGGGTTTTCTAGCAGATTTCTCTGGATTTGCAAGTGCTTTTTCAATTTGATCATTTCTTTGAGGTGACTCTGTAATTTCAAGTTTTTGAGGAGTAACTCTGGCAGGAAGTTGATTTTTCGCAGGAGGTTGATTTTTTACAAGAATGTTGGTTCGAAATGGACACTTGACATTTAAATGGTTATTTGTAAGACAATCTACACAGTGCATAGTTAGACGAAACTTTTCTGAGGCAGCTCCTGAAAACATTTCTTCTTCAATAGAGGACCAATCAGTGTTTCCTAAACAACAATAACTAATAATTACTAAGCATTTTAAAAAAATCAAATTAATATTTTTAAATTAAAAGTTCAAAACTTAAGTCTGTAAAATAAAATATTTTTTACAGTTATAAAATAATTTATAAGTATAATAAAAAAAATTACTTATAAAGAAGTTAATATAAACGAGTTACAAATTTTATAAGTTATAAGCATATAAAATTTGTAACCCCCTCATATTGAAGGGGGTTTAAACTTTATATAATCATAACTTTTAAACGCTAAGAAACAATTTTATGACATTTAAAATTTATAGATGAATATAAATTTATAAAAATACATAAAATATTTTATCAACTTGTTGCTTTCATATTTGAGGCAGTTGTGGCCAAAATTTTAGGGGTTTTTTGTTCCCAGACTCAATATCTAGAAATTAGCTCATCTCAAACATCAAAAAATGCTAGATCCGCCCCTGGTAGTATACTCATGGTAGTATACTATTTTATAATTGCGCATATATATAGAGTTATGAAATAGAATTTATTTTTATTAGACATTTTTATTATTTAGAAATTATTATTAGCGTTTTGACTAAAACCAAAGATTTTAACTAACTTAACTAAAAAAACTAAAATTAGTTGACTTTTTAGTCTAAAATTATTCCACCAACTTTTTAGTCTAAGTTGCAAAATAAAAAGTGGCAATTTTATAATAATAAATATTATTATTATTACAAAAAAAACAGTTATTATTATTATTCCCATTCTTCCCTTGTCATTAAGCAGTAATATTTTTGTGAACGAGAAAATAAAAAACGAGATCAAAAATTTTCATTAATGAGATTAAAAATTTTTTAAATTTATAACAAAAGTAATTTACTAATTACAAAACTATTTAATTAAAATCAATTTTTTAGAAATCGGCCGTGCCATATGGATATCTGATGAATGTATATACAGATTTAAAGAAAACAGATTTGAAAATACAAACAGATTTAAAGAGTATTCAAATAAAACATCAAAGAAATGTTTTATGCAAAATTTGTTTCGGATTTCTTTTAAATAACACTTCCAATCATTAATAATGATAAAGAGGTAATGCATAATTTAATTTTGTTATACACACATAAAAGCACAGATATTTAATTAAAGTTTTAAATTGCTTTTAACCGAGTTATTCTGTTAACAAACTAATTTTATTTAAGTCAAATAAAATTTGGGGCAAGACAAAAAAATTAAACATTTTGCTTAATTAATTAAATTTATTATCAGCAATATCTGATTTAAAGAAAAGGTTGGAAAAAAGAAAGAATATAAATGAACAAACCTTTTAAAATGACATTGATAGCAAAAACAGTTTTAATTTTTTATCCTGTCTAATGGAAAATGAAATTGATACACAGGAGATTGAAGCAGCAACAAAAACTACATACAAATATTACTTAATTGAAAAAATAAGTCTAAGATGAATATCTAATGAATGCAAACAGATTTAAAGAGTATCCAGGTCTTGCGATAAAGCGTTGGGCGATGTGAACTTTACGTCCTCCAAGAGCGATTTTGCGTGTAGCTAGGGCTATTTGCATCGAGCAAAAAAATTTTTGTTTGAGTATATTTAAAGATATTTTTGAGCGGAATTTTAATGAAGTAATTTTTGATTATTTTAACATTTAATAAAGTATTTTAAAACCGCACGCAGTTGATATAAAAGTTTGAATTACAAAAAAATTAAATATGCTCATTATTTACAAGTAGAAAAAATTCAGATTAAAAAAAAAGTTGAAATCTTTTTAACATAGCTAACATTTTAATAAAATTATTCAGCAATAGCAAAGTTGTCGATAAAATTGAACAAAAATACTTTCTTTTAGTTTTAGATTTTTAACTTGAATAATTATTTTACGGGGGTTTGTTAGGTTTTAAAATTATTCCATAGATTTAAAAATATTTATTAACTGTTAGACGTATTTAAAGTATTTAAGAGTAATTTCGAGTAAACATTTTAAAAATTGGTAAGCGCAAAAAAAAGGATTAATATTAAAACGTATTCTACTTGATTCAATAAAAAAGTACAGCTATTAAAATTTTTGTAAAAAGTAACTCGAAAAAAATTACTTAAATAATAATAATCGCTTTTTTGTTAAAAGTTATCGAAACTCAATGAAGCGCGCTCAAGAACAGCTGCTGAAAAATAGAACTTCAATAGTTTTTCGAATAATTTTTAACAATAATTTTTAAGAATAATTTTTTCGCTGAAATATGTCTTTTATACCTATAAGATTTTTATTCTAACATTTTATTTTACCAAAAATAAATTTCCTTGAAAACATTAAAAATCTATTCAAAACGTTCGTTAAAGTTTTTTAGTAATACGAGTGTTTGTGCTTATCAACCGCTTTATGAAAATAAAAATAAATAAATAAAAAAATATTATATAAAATCGCTAGTAAAAATATTAGCTATTGCACAGTTTTTAATCGTACAAAATTAAAATCTCCAGTTTATTACTCGCTGACTTTTTAAAAAGAAAAAAGAAATATTTGAAAAATTTTAAATTACATTTTTGAGAAAAAAAAAACAAATATTAGCATATTTTAAAATCTTTTTTAAATGTTTAGTTATAATGTTTTTTATTCGTTTAGTGTGTCAAATGTCGAGAACATAAACAAATGTTTTTACATTTTAAAAAACAAAACATTCCAAAACATTTTTAAATAATAACATTTCTACATAAATGATTTAAAGTAGTTTTGCGGTAATTAAATAAATTGATGCAGTTAATGTCGATAAATATGAAAAGCAAATAAAAAGAATTTAATGACGTCAAAAATCACGTCGTGCTTATGCGTCACGCAGTTTTTATTCATCACAAGGCCTGAGTACTCAAATAAAACATCAAAGATTATCATCATGAACATGATCACCAAATAATAACATCAAAGAATAGAATCATAGAATCATCATGAACATGATCACTAAGTAATAATGCAAAAAAAAAAAAAAAATTACGAGTGGCATCTCAAAAGAAAATAGCAATAAGATTGATAGAAATCTTTTAATTTTCATTATTGCCTGTTGCCTTCTGTTTATGTTGGTGGAAAAGAATGCGATCAAAGAATTTATCTTGTGTTTAAATCTAAAATAGAAATTGCCGTGTCGAAAAAAGTTGAAATTTCTTTTAACTGATTTATATCAAGAAAAAATTGAATTTTTGAAGTCGAAGTTATTATCAAAGTTTTGTCAGTTACTATTGACGGATTGACATCCTGTCAAAATTATAGCTACATATCTGCAACTGCACATTTCATTTCTGAAAAAATAAACTTTATCATTTTTTGTTTAAGCTTTGCATACCTTAATGGCAATTGTTAGCAAATGTAAATGTATGCATAAGGTAGCAAAAATATATAAACACAATGTATGACTCGGTGTTAAACAGAGTTAAACTACCAGAAACCAAAATTGAAAAAGATTGAGGAATTATGATTTCAAACGACTTAAAATGGTCTAGTGAAGTTAATTATTTGTCTGGTATAGCTAAAAAAAATGTTAGGAATAATAAAATATTTAAAAACTTAAATGTGTCTAAACTATTGTACTTTTCAGGCCTTGTTTTAAATAAAAAATGCTTACACCTCTCTTCAGGCTTTGTTTTAAATAAAAAATGCTTACACCTTTCTTCAGGCCTTGTTTTAAATAAAAAATGCTTAATGCATTAGCTTAACGCGCTATTTGATGCCATAAAATTCTCTTTATTATCTTTTTTTTTTTAAAGACATTTTAAAGACACTTTTTCAAATTACTGCAATAATATTAATTGCCACAAAACAAGTAAAAAGTAATTTAACGGCTTTTTATTATTACAATAAAGGAATGTTTATTTATTTTTATTTTTTTTTTTTAATATTAAATAATTAAATTTTAATATTGCATTTTTAAAAATGTTTGGTATTAACAATTATCTTTCTTTTCTCAACATTTGCACAAATGAAGTTAAATTTTTAAGTTTTTAAAACAATTATTTCTTAAATTTCTAATTGCGGCTTTGCAACTACAAATGATTTTTTATTTTAAAAAAATTAGCAAGTAACAAATAAAAAAATTATGTTAATTTATTTACTTTATTTATTTAAAGTTTATTAGTTTATCATTTTATTATTAAAATTAAATCGTTGAATATATCGTTTATTAAAAAATAATCGCTGTGATTTAACTTGCGTTATAAAAAAAAAAACTAACTTACGTTTTGTGCAAACTTTTGATGCAGTCATTTACTTAAAATTTAATTTTGAGTAAAGAAAAAAAAAATGTTTAGGAAGAAAAACCAAAAAAAAAATTGCGGTGAATATAAGCTGATTTTTTTTTAAGAACAAATAAAATTTCAATATTGAAGAATATTTAGTAATATTTTTAAATTTAGGTTTCAAAAATATATTTAAGTTTATTTAAAATTAAAGATTTGACAGTTAAGTTAAAACCAAGCATTAACTTTAATTTTAAATAAACTTAAATATCAGCGCTCGAAATAACTATTCGAAGGTTGCTGATCCAAATTGATTGGCTGAAATAAAATAATTAAAGACGATCAAATAATTTTTTAGACAATCAATTTTTTGTTAAATTTTAATAAAATTTACAATGCATTTTTTTGATCCTATCTCACATGATTTTTGTTTTGCTGTTATAATTTTATAACTTTTAACTAATTATAATTTTATTTATTCTCTTTAAAATTTAAGTAAATCATTTGTTTTACCGTTTTGAATTTATTAATTTTATTTAAAATTTAAGTATACTGTTGGTTTTGTCACTTTTCTTTTGTATTATTTTGAGTATACATGATACATTGCTGTTTTTGTTTCAAATGATTTTAATTGTACACTGCCTAAAAAGTGACAACAACCACAAAAGCAGCTGTCTTTGAGATAGCGATAAATAAAATAATCAAATTTAGTTTAATGCATTACTATAAATTGACTGGGCCATAAGAATCATTATTAGGACTGTACCAAAATAGTATTCAAACACCTTGATTACCCGGCCTCGAGTGTGAAAGTTTTATGCTATATGTTATTCTTTTATTTTTTTATCACTTTATCTTGCTTTAGTCCTCTAACTTTAATTAAAGTGAAAAATTAGTCCACTTATATTAGCAAACTAAAAATTTAGTCAAATTTATTTAATTTTAATTAGACTAAAAAGTTAGTCAAATAATTTTAGTTAGACTAAAAAGTTAGTCGAATAATTTTAGTTAGACTAAAATTAACCTTAACTTCCATCCCTAGAATTAATTAAATAGGTACAGAGATAAAATTGTGGAGTGGGTTTAAAAATCTCTTTACACTTTTTAAATGCCATCATCTCCCTTGTAGTCTAACCCTTAACTTGTTTCTGTGGGCATACACCTCATTTCTTAAGGTTCATCTTTATCACATCAATTATTATATGTGTCCTATAATATAAATAAAATTAATTTTAATTTTTTTTTTTAACTTTATGGATAAAAGGCAAAATTAAAACTTAAATAATTATTAGCTTGCATTCAAATTTATTAGGATAAATCAGGGATTATCAATTTAATAAAAAACTTGAGAAAATTATTATTTGAATTAAATATTTGAATGATTTATAGACTTCAATTGAAAACCTAAAATAAGTCAATTTACACTATTTTACCTTTAATAGCTGCCATTCTTCGATAGGCTTTATCATACCTCCACCATGCAGAATTATCTGGCGCCTCTTTATATATCCATAAAATTACTCGACTATAACGTAATAAATTTGAAACCCTGCCTGGACAAGTAGAACTAATGACTAACAAATACATCATAAAACAGTCTAACCATGCTAAAATATCTCTTTTTAGTAAAGCTTCTGCTTGTTCAAGGTTATTAGCATGTCCAATTAATAAAGCAACTTGAGAAAAATCAACATAATTTCCTGATAAAACTAATTTTTCAAACTCATTTGAAATATTAGGTTCAATTGGTCCTAGTTCTTGCTTTCTTTTTACATTGTCTGAATACAATAAACTACTATTGTTCACTTGATTTCTTTTTTGAAAAACCATGTCAGAGTTTTCAACAAACTGATTCAAGTTTAAAGCATTCATTGAGTTTTTTAAATTAAAACCTGCATTACTATTTCTTATTGAATTGATAGAATTTCTTGAAATACTATGAACATCAGAGCGTAAATGAACAGATAAATTATCATCATCTTCATCATCATCATTATCTGCATAAACAAAAGCTTTTGAAGTAGGTACTTCAGGCACTCCTATCATTCCTGTCCATGCAGGTGTTATATTTTTATTTGCAGCTGTTGATGTAGCTTTTACAGGCCCAGTTGAACGAGGTGGTATTCTTGCCTTTGGCATTATTTTAATAATAAATAATTTCTATAAGTTAAATAAAAACATTAGAGGCTGATCCAAGCAGTTATCATTTAATTTTTCTTTATTTTTATTGCTTACAATGAACATAAAGTATACTTATATAAATTTAAATTAGAGTTGATTCAGATTAGATTGACTAAATTAAATTTAAGATAATAAAGTACATTATTATAACAATTAATTAATCAAATATATTTTTAAAATATTGTTGTCGTTATTTAGGGAAAAATTATAATTACAAATACATAATTATACTATATATTTATATATATTATGGTAAAAACTAATTATATATCAAATATATAATTAATGAAAATTAGAGCAATATTAACTAAAATAATAATAATATAAATAATAATGATGCAACTTTACACAGTAATTACTATAATAAAACAATAATAACAACAAAAATTCTATATAATTGTTGTTAGTATTTTTATTTATAACAGCATTAATAAAACAATAATAATAATAATAGCAATAACAATATTAATTATTTTGTCAGTAGATGTATGTACATTTAATTGTGCTAATCCATACTTGTCGGTCGATGTATGTACATCTAAAAAACTGTCTCAAAAAAGTACATCAAAAAAACTGTCTAAAAAACTGTCTCAAAAACTTTTTATTAAAAAAAATGAATACCCATTATAATATTTAACTGAACTTAAATAAATTTCAAAAATGACAACAATAAAAACCGAGTTGCATTAAGTTGAATTAAAAAAAAAAGTTTTTCTGAGTTGAATTAAAAAAAAAAGATTTTCTAAATGATTGATTTCTTAATAAAAACCGATTAAAGAAACAAAAGACGATTTTAAAAAGATGGCGTTTTTAGTATAATTCTTTAAACTTTAAAATCAAATTAGAGTGCTTTCTTCAAATTTTCAGGTCAATGTTTTTATACAATTCTTAATCAGCATGAAATCCTCTATTGAAATCAATCATAAAATGATAGATAGGCAACTGAAACAGTGCCATTTTTTGCAAGGATAGATGCAGCTAAGTATACATAAACACACTAATTTTCATAGAGATAAATGCCATAATTGATAACATATCAACAGGATTTTGGTAATGGCAACAGCCTTTTATTTCAAATTTCATTATAAAAATTAAATTAAGCAAATCAAAACCATCACTTTAGAGCAATTTATTTTAAAAAAAGAAGTTGTTAGATATCATTTTGAAACAATGATCTTTTAGTATCTAAAAATTGGTAAATTCGAAGAATTTTTGATTATTTTAAGAAAATAATTTTTGACTTTAAATAATTATTTTAAAAAAAAAATTTTATATGTAAATTATAAAAACATCAATAAAAGATTCAACCTTTTATTTGAGAGAATGCATAATAATTGACACAAAAAACATTAATAATACTGAAAAAATCAATAGCAACTCATTGCTTACTAATATTAAATATTAAAATTCTATGCAATTTTTATATGGAACATTTGAAACAAGCAAACGTTGAAATATTTGTTAGTAGATTATTTTAGTGTTTAGAAAAAGAAAACCTTTTTATTATGTAAAAAATACAAAAGGACTCAAAAAATACAACAAGACAATGTAAATAAATCGAAAGAAGTTGAAGAAAATATTTAGACATCACATATCAGTTTTAAAAAATTTTAAAAAAGCATATAAATATATAAATGACACTGTTGTTTACGATAACACGAATTTTCAACCTAATATATTTTATAAAGTAAAAAACAAATCAAAACTAAACGTATATAACACAGAGAAAAATATATTCCATAGCATTATTATCAACAACGTGATATTTTTTGTAATGGAAAATATTGTCGCCTAGCTTTAACTTGTTTACACCATAATACACGGTGAATAGAATGTTTAATATCCAATCTCTTTAACCTAATTGGAAACACTTTTAAAACTGACCGAATTGGAAACACAACAAAATCATTTCTTCCAATGATATATATTTAACTAGATGTCTAACTTCGTATAAATTCCGTAAGAAAATATGAAGCAAGTTTTTGAAGGTTATAAAGCCGGTAGCCGCAGCAAAGAAAAAAACATTTTGGCGATGTTAACTTTTTAAATGTTAAAAATATCTATTTATAAACTGTTATTTAAAAACAGCGTTTGTAGATAAAGAAAGTTAGAAGTTGTTATATAATACAAAGATATTACATTTTTACTTGGCAAATATAAATATATGTTGGCAAAAAATATGTTTTTGACTTTTACAACTGTAACTTAAAAGTACCCTATTGGACCCCTTAAGTTATTGTTATAAAAGAACACATATTTCATTATGAAAATAAATCAAAAGTGTTGCTGATATAAATAGGTATAAATTTTTATTTTTAATGTAGGTTTTCAATTAAAAAATTTAAATTAGTTCAAAAAACTGTAACACACAGTTAACAGTTACAGTTAAGTAATTTTCAGAAATAATAAAATTTTTGTTTTAAAGAATTAATTTTATTTTTTGGCATAAATAGCTTACAAATAATATTGAATATTATTATTGTAATTTTTCATAAACCTTTGAACAAAACAACTTATTGGACTGTTGCCGTAATCCAATCTTTCCTTTATGCAACTCATTTCTAGTGTACAGCTGACCATATGAGTGTAGACGCAATGTTAAATATTTTTCTATAATTTTTTTTAAAAGCTGTAAAGAATGCATGTCTTCAGTTAAAATCTCATGTTCTAAATCATGCATATTTAGTTCAGTAAACAGTGCATCATTTGCAAGTTTTTGATTTATAAAGTGCACCAGATAGGTTTTAAGATTTTTTTTAGAAGATATTTTTAGATTATGGGGGTCTGCCCCACACACCAAAACTTTAAAAACGTGCTCACATTTTTCAACAATCTTTAAAACACTACAGGATGGAAAGATTAAACCACCTCGATTTTTAAAAGTTGTAAAACTTTTCCACGATGAACTGCAAAATATAGAATACTCATGATCAGTGGATAAAGTCTTCGGAGAAATTATTGGCACAAGTCAGACATGTAATTTTACTATAAAGTTTTCTTACAATGAACCCTGCAATATATCCAAGTATAGCTTCTTTATAAATTGAAGTAGAGACTGATGAAAGACAACCAGCAAGGTCTTTAAAATAGTTAGAATCCTCACTAGATATTATATTTTGCTCAACAAGAGGAGATCTCCTTTTACTCCACTTTAATAAAAAGATTGAGCCAGAAGATTTTTAGTCAAAAGTAAGGCAGTTGCTAAATTTTGATCCTATGATAGAGTTTCTTAATAAAATTCTTTTTAAAGCAGATTTTAACTGACGTGCATCTGGATTGTTATTGAAACCATTTTTGCCTCGAATACAAGCAAATAATAATTCAACATGAACTTGTGACAGTTTATATGTTAAAATAAATTCAAAAGGATTCTCATGTCTAGATAAAAGGTTAAGGGATAAATCTCTAACACTTGTGGCTGCTACAATGAAACCAAGTACAAATGTCTTCCTTCTGTGTTTAATTAAAGAAGTTTTAGATAGGTCTGATAAGTTAACTAAGTAATTTACAGATTTTTCTATGGTTTCTATCCATTTTGGAGCTTCATTCAAAAACAAAGGTTTCTTAGATCCTTTTTCAAAAAGGTTTTTAGAGTTTAACAAGTCGAATAATTTATCTAAAGTTCTAATAAAATTAATTGTGCCTTGGGCATCAATAAAAGTTGGATGACCTGAGACCATCAAAAACTCTATAGCATCACCAACTGAACCATTTAGCGTTTGAGCTGCAATTTTAACATTCATTTTATGTCTGCGAAAGTCAATGTGGTAATTGCCAAGTTTATTTGCAAACTTAAATCCTTCTTCTTCTTGCAGTTTATGCAATGCTTTAATATGGTCCCACTTTATATATTGATTTTGTTCATCAACAAAGATACCGATACTACACAGAGCGTTTCGAGCTAATTTAAGCATATGACAAGGATCAGGGATATAATATATAGGATGATCATATTCAGGATGGGGAAAACTACCACACATCTCTTTAATTTTACTTCTGAATGAACACCCAAGATTCTTCATTGCACTAAAGTTGGAAATAAGTCATCACATGTTATACTCCAAACATCACATGTTATACTCCAAACATTCAGATTATGAGTAGCGCATAAATGTAAAGCATTATTAATTAGACAACTTAAATTCGTTGAGGAAATTTTATCGCACAATATATAGCCTATAGGACATTTCCAATGGCCTTTCAATCCAACAACCATAAAAATAAGTGCTTCTGTTGCTAATTTATCTGGGTCATAGGCTAGAATATTGTTTCCAAAACTAGAAAAACCTTCATATGATCCAGTAACATTATCATACCGCAGAGCAGCCCTGATATGCATAGAATCAAATATTAATGCGCAATCTTTGTATGATGAATTCTCAAATGTCTTATTTTGTAAAAACTTGAAAACATCTCCAAAAAACCCAGGCAAACAATCTACAGATGAGGTCCAGTTTGAAAGTGAGCTTACGGCAGGTAATGAGAATGTAGATTTAACAAATTCATATGCTCTTGGAGAATAAAAGTGCAGTGTTAAAGCAAATTTTTTAACTTCTTCAGAGTATCTATAACTTTTTTTTTTTTTGCCTCTATTTTTTAATTCAGATTTCAAAAGTTCTTTAGTCAGTCCAGAGAAGTTGTTCTCAAGTAATTCAGCAACATCAATGGAAATAATATTTTTTTTCTCCAAGTTTTGAATAACTTTGCTAAGTGAAACAATTTTTTTATCTTTTCGTTTAAGCTTTTGTTTTAATATTTTAATCTTTTTTCTAAGTAATAGTTTTTTTGGAGAATTTTGTTTAAGTATTTTTTCCTTAATAGTATTTGTAATATCAAGCTCTGTTACCTCTTTATTCGAGATAGAACAAATTGTTTTTTTAATGTGTGATGTATCATCATTATATAGCTGATTTCGCTTGTTATTTTTGTTCAATGATTCATGAAAGTCAAATATTGAAGGCACAATATTTTTTTTCAGCACACGTTTCCCATTCTCTTGAC